CCACCTGGAGAGTGGACATGAGAGGTTCAAAGACCCCAATAACCAAAGTAGTTCACATGCCCAGCCTATTTGGGCATATCAAATCAAAACAAAACAAAAAGTTAGGACACAGTAAACAAACATACAATAAATAAATATAATAACTTACTGATGGCTCAGAGACAACAGTCAATATCAAATCACATAAAGAAGCAGGTCAAGATGGCTCCAGCAAGTGACCAAAATAAAAAACTAGGAAACTTTCTGGGGAAAGGCAAGGCCATGGAATTACCTGAGATAGAATTCAAAAGACTAATATCCAAGAGATCAGGAAGGAGATCAGGCAAAACTCAGACCAAGCCAAGGAACACACAGACAAAGCAATAGAGGAATTGAGGAAAACAATACAAGAACAAAATGACAAATTTAACAGGCTGCTAGAAACCATAGAGAGACAGCAACTAGAAATCCAAAAGATTAACAATAAAATTTCAGAATTAGACAACTCAATACAAGGTCATAGGAGAGAATTGAGGCAATAGAAGTCAGAATTAGTGAGATTGAAGATAAATCCCTTTACACAAAATTATTTGAGGAAAAATCAGAAAAAAGAATTTAAAAAATGAAGAAAGTCTAAGAATTATGGGGACACTATCAAGAGAAAAAACCTACACAGGATTGGAGTACCAGAACGGGGGGCATTAGGAGGGGAATAACAGAAAACACAGAGAGAATTGTTGACGATTTGCTGGCAGAAAACTTCCCTGATATCGTGAAAGATGAGAAGATATCTATCCAAGAAGCTCAAGAAACCCCACACAGGGTAGATCCCAAAAGAAAGTCACCAAGACATATCATAATCAAAGTTGTCAAAACCAAAAAAAAAAAGATAGAATCTTGAGAGCAGCTAGGGATAAATGAAAAGTCACCTACAAAGGAGAACCAACAAGACTAAGCTCTGACTATTTAGGAGAAACAATGCAGGCAAGAAGGCAATGGGGTGACATGTATAAAGCCTTGAAGGAAAAAAACTGCCAGCCAAGAATTATATATCCAGCAAAACTGTCTCTCAAATATGAGGGTGAAATTAGGTTATTTCCAGATAAACAGAAGTTAAGGGAATTTGTAAAAACCAAATCAAAATTACAAGAAATATTAAAGGGAGTCCTCCAGTTAGAGAACCAACAATATCAGACAACAACACAGGACAGATCGACCAGTTATCAACCCAGATAGGGAAGTCATGAAAGCAAGACAAAGCTAAAAGACTGAAAATAGGGAACCAGAGATGTCAATATGTAAACAATGACAATGTCAAAACAAAAAAGAGGGAATAAACAGTGTAGTCACAGAACTTCCATATGGAGAGGAAGTTGAGATATCAAGAAATAAAAGTTGTGTTCAAACTTAGAAAAATAAAGGTAAATTTTAAGATAACCACAAAGGAAGCTAACAAACTTACCCATCAAAATAAAAAAAACTTTTTCCCTACATCCTTGCTTGATTGATGTTTGGCTGGGTATAGGATTATAGACTGGAAATAAATTCCCTAAAAATTTTAAAGGCATTACTTCACTACTTTCTTGTTTCTAGAGTTGGTGTTGAAAGTCTGAGGCCATTGTAATTATTGATTCTATGATTTATTTTTGCCTCTGAAAGTTTGAAGAATTTTCTATTTGTCCCCAGTATTCTTAAATTTGAAATTTATGTGCCTTGACATCAGTCTGATTTAATCTCTTATGGTGAACACTCAGTGGGTCCTTTCATATGGGAAACTCATGCCCTTCAATTCTGGGTCATTTTCTTGAATTGTTACTTCATTGTTTTACTCAATATTTTCCATTTTCTCTTTCTGGAACTCCTAAGTGTATACTGAACTTCCCCATTGGCCCTTTAATTTTATCTTTTCTGTTTTCCATCTACCTCTTTGTCTGTTGGCTCTGTTTTCTAGGAGACTTCCTTAACTTTATCTCGCAACTTGACTATTGAGTTTCTGATTTGTATTATCAAGTTTTTCATCTCCAAGGCTCTTCTCTTTTCTGATTGTGCCAATGTATATTTTGGGGGGAGGGGCTCCTATCTCTAATGTTAGAATTTTCCCAAATGCTTAGCAATCTCAGGCTATCTGTTTATGATTAATAGTATTCAATTAAAACATTCGTTAAAAGCTCTGAGCATGTGGGTGGAACTTGTCAACTTTGTACTTTTAGTTGGGTTATATTAATAACTAGTTTGGATTTCGAGTATAGGGGCTCCTTGTTCTACCAGTCACCCAGATCCCTGCTGGCTACTTTAGGCCAAGAGAACTAGAGCATGAGTTCTAGTGTGGTGGCAAATGCCTCATACTTGGCACAAATAATGGAGACATCAGGAGGATCATGGTCATCTGCCCTACAACTAAGTGCAGTTTCCCAAAGAACCTCGCTGTTTGTGGGATCTGTAATTTCCAAACCGGGAACACCCACAGAGCTACTTCCACCTTTCCCAGCAATCTTCGCCACACACATTTTGGACTGTGTTAGGTAGATCCTATCTGCCTTCAGTCTTTAAAGAATTTCTCAAAATTTGTTTTCTAAGAGTACTACTTGTTTTTCAGTACAGTTTTAAATTTTTTAAAACGAATGTAATTTCTGTTGTTTTAGGAATTTGGGTGGCCATGTGTTTAGTCCCTCATCTTGATTCAATCTATCAAGGCCATTCTAAGATTTTGGGAAAACAAAAATGTAGTTCCTCTCTGTTGAATAATTTGGATCCCAGAGGGAGAATACAAATTTAAAAACTAGTTATTATATAATTACTTAGTCTATGATAGGCACAGAGTGAGGCACTTTATATGTGTTACTTAGTTTATTTTCACAAAAATTTGAAAGGTAGATATTATTATCCCAGTTTTACAGGAGAATAAATGTTAGTCAGAAACACTAGGTAACTTGCTGAAGCTTCCCCAATAAGCAGCAGTGTTGAGCTTGGAACTCTGACCTGTCTCTAACTTGCTTAATTGCAGATGAAGAAACTGAGGCCAAAGTAGAAAAATAATATGCCAGAGTTTAATTAGAAGTATCATAGCTCTTTTGCACATTTTGATTTCGTTGTTTCATATTTAGAAGTTATATTAACTCAAATGCAATTAATGTGTAACAGTTCTTTGTTTTGTTAATAATACTGCGTATGTGATCAGGGTAGGCAGGTAGAGAATCATGAGAGAGTCAAATAAAATTAATCCAATTTAAAAAATCATTCCAAATATATCCAGACTTTTAATTTGACATGTATATCATCTCTATAGTCTCATAAAGCTCAAGTGAAATCATGTAGGCTAGTATGAACTTTAAGATCTTTTTTTTAACAATATAATTTTATTTATTTTTTTGTTGTTGAGAAAATACACAACAAAACATACACCAGTTCAACAGTTTTTACATATACCATTTAGTGACAGTGATTACATTCTTCAAGTTGTGTAACCATTCTCACCCTCATTGTTTGAGTTGTTCTTCCCCCATTAACATAAATTCACTGCCCCCTAAGGTTCTGATCTAATTTTTCGAGTTGCTGTTGTCAATTTGATCCCATATACATAGTTCTTAAAAGAGCATAATGCTCAAGGCAGGACTTTTTTTTACCAATTAAGCAAAACTACTGTTTGGTTTTAAGAAGACTTCAAGGGGATATTTTTGGTTTAAGGTTTAAAGATTATCTAAGTGCAATAGTTTCAGGTGTTCATCCAACCTTCTGGAGAAAGTCTGAATTCCATGAAAATGTGAAATTCTGTTCTGCATTTTCCTCCTTTTGAACAGGATTCTTCTATGGAATTTTTGATCAAAATGTTCAGTAATGGTAGCCAGTCACCATCCAGTTCTGATATCGTGGCAAAGGAGGCATCTGTTCGTGGAGGCAGTCAGCCACACTTTCCATATCCTCCTACTCCTGATTCTCCTTCTGTTTTTCCAGGCTAAAAGAGATCAATTGTGCCTTGGACGGTCACTAACAAGCTTTTAAAACCCCAAGCACTACGCATCGAACTAGGAGGTAGAACAGAAGCACTAAACACATTATCAGGCCAATTAACTGGGATGTCCCATGAAGCCATGGCCCTAAACCTTCAAACCGAGAAACCATAGCCCATGAGGTTTTTGAGGTTTTGGTTGTACATAAGCAGCCTCAGTAGCTACTTTTTTTTTTTTTTTTTTTTTTGGTCACTGTTGTAAATGTATCTATCACACAACTTTTTACAGGTGTACAGCTTATTGACAGCAATTACAATAATCGGCTGTGCAACCCTACCTGTAATCAATGTGGTATTTTCCATCACTGTTAAACATCTCCCTTTTGTCCCCCTCTTTTCTGCCCCTGGTAACCACTAACTTTGGTCACTGTACATTTGTCTTTTCTTGTCTTTTTATATAAGTGACGTCACAGTATTTGTCCTTTTGTGATTGACTTATTTCACTCAGCATAATGTCTTCCAGCTCCATCCATACTGTAGCATGTATCAAGACTTCATTTCTTCTGGCTTGGTAGTATTCCATTGTATGCACGTACCACATTTTATTTATTCATCTGTCAATGGGCTTTTAGGTTATTTCTCCCTTTTGGATACTGTGAATAGTGCTGCAATGAACACTGGTGTACAAGTCTCTGTTTGAGTCTCTGCTTTCAAGTCTTTTGAGTATATACCTAGGAGTGGAATTGCTGGGTCATATGGTAGTTCTGTTTTTAGTTTTTTGAGGAACTGCCACACTGTTTTCCACAACAGCTGTACCATTTTGCATTCCCACCTAAAAAGGGTGAGAGTTCCAGTTTCCCCACATCCTCAACATTTGTTGTTTCCTTTTTTTTTTTTTTT